AGCCTGAGGCGGCCTGCAACGTGCAGTCTTTCCTTCCTTTTCTTGAGAAGTGATAGCGGCCCTTTGCGTCCAAAGCCTTTCCTTCTTTTAGGGGTGTGGGGTTCTCGCTAAACTTCTAAACCCTAAACCCTAGACCCCGGTACCCCCTTAACCCCTAAACCCTAAACCCCTAAACCCTAAACCCCTAAACCTAAACCCCCTAAGCCCTAAACCCCTAAACCCCTGATAAACCCTAAACTCCTAATCTGTGATCTCAGTGCCTGGCAGGGCTACGACGTACTTGTCCTTCAGCTCCTGAGCTCTGCTCTCTAAACGCAAGATCCGCCGTTGCACCCGGCCTACAAAAAAAAGCTCTTTGGGGTGTAGGGTTAAGGGTTTATCCCACGGATCCGAAGCACCTATATAGTATATTGTAGACAGTAGGGGTTCTACAGAAGGCGCTACTGTTATTGTGGTTTACACTTACCTTAACTTACCAGACCCACTTGCTTTGTAGGGCCCGTATAAGTTCAGTCTAAAGAGCATGACATCCCTCCACCCTGAACCTGAAACCTGACTTCTACTACTACTATACTATACTATACTACACTACCCTACACTACACTACACTGTACTATACTAAACTATACTATAAATACTACTCTCTACTACAATATGCATGCCACAAAAATACTAAAACTTACTTTGATATACGATAATATGCTTTCATATAGCGGAAAATACTATGAAGTTCAAGGCCTGGGCTGTTTGGGAAGTGATTGTCCCGGGACAAACCACTCGACCATCCCACGAACTGAGTGTTTGGGATTCCGCTGAGCCCTTTGGCATCTGCGGTGGAGTTTTGGGACATCAAAGAGATGCTAGGGTTGAGGGTTTAGGATGCTTTCAATCACCCTAAACCCTAAACCCCTAAGTTGGGTTGGGAACCTTTCCTGGCACTCGGCAGGCGAGAAGGTCGTAATCAGCCGTTGGAGGCGGCGGATAAATCAGTGAGGCAGCAGCAGTAGTAGTAGTAGTAGTTGTAGTAGTAGTAGTAGTAGTATTAGTAGAAGCAGCAGCAGCAGCAGTCATTATCGCAATAGTTGTCGTCGCGGTTGTGCTATGTGCGGGTGCGCAGCAGCAGTGGCGAAAATCATCATGGCGGGTGCTCCAAACCCTAAAGCCTAAACCCCTAAACCCTAAACCCCAAAGGTGGGGAGTAGATTGCAGCCTGGGTACCGCACCCCAGAAGACCGAACCTCAAAAGGCGCGATCCAAACCGCTTCCAATCTCACACCAGCATAACTTGCTTCCCCAATAAGCCAAATATTGAACCCTAAACCCTCAACCTCGCTTCTCCCGAAAATCCATACCAAAGACCGTCCAACCCAAACAGGCAGGGCTACAGTGTTTGTAGGGACTCCTTCAACCCCGCCGTGCTGCAAATCGAACACCAAAGCCCCAAGCCCTAAGCCCTAAACCCTAAACCCCTAAACCCCAAACCCCTGAACCCCAAACCCAAAGCCCTAGACCCCTAAACCCCAAACCCTAAACCCTGAACCCTAAAGCTGCCTGGGCCTTCAAGATGACACCCAAGTGCAGAAGCCTCAGCCGACCAGGCGTAGGCTGTGAGCCCCCTCAGTTCGGCTTCCTGTAGCGGTTTGGATATCCCAAAGGGTCCCATGTACTGTTTTGAATTCCTAATATAGAAACCCTGCAGTCTTTTGGCAGAGTCACGGTACAGGCCTGCCCTTTGCTTCAAACAAGAGCTCAAAAATAGAACTGGAAATGAGCCCCGAAGGGGCCTTCGGAGTATGCCTAAACCCTATAAGCCCTGAACCCCTAAACCCCTAAATCCAAACCCTAAGCCCTAAAACCCTAAACCCTAAAACCCTAAACCTTTAAATCTAAACCCTAAACCCTAGAACCCTAAACCCATATAGAACCCTAAACCCTAAAAACCCTAAACCATTAACCCTAAACCGGGCCAGGTGCCAGAATCGGAAGATTGCAGGCAGGTCGCAGCTCGTCTTCCGCCTCCCCCGGCGACTGCGCCTGCAGCATTTAATCACTCTAGGAACTTAGGATTTAGGGTTTAGGGTTTAGGAACCTAGGATTTAGGGTTTGGGAACTTTGGATTTAGGGTTTAGGGAACTTAGGATTTAGGGTTTAGGAACTTAGGATTTAGGGTTTCGGGTTTAGGAACTTAGGATTTAGGGTTAAGGAACTTAGGAATTCATGATTTAGGGTTTAGGAACTTTGGATTTAGGGTTTAGGGAACTTAGGATTTAGGGTTTAGGAACTTAGGATTTAGGGTTTCGGGTTGTAGGTTAGGATTTAGGGTTTAGGAACTTAGTATTTATCTGAAGAACCTGACTTTTCAGGGTTCCTCATTATGATGTTTTTTATATAACGTCCTCAAAACGGTAGGTTCTTTTGGGGTCTAGCTGGGGTTTAGGAACTTTGGATTTACCCGTTCCGATCACGGTGCGACTTTAGATCAAAACGAGAGTTCGGGTCCATTCTTGCTGTGGGTTTCAGCTGAGGGTCTAAGGGTTCAGGGCATCGGGGGTCGAAGGTTTAGAGTGTCGGGTTTAGGGCTTCTGGGGCTTAATGTTACAATAGGGTTTACGGGTAGAGGGCGTGATTGATGATGTACGCCAATGCCACCCATTTGGCTCTTTTCTGAATGGACAAGAGTGCCTCAGCGATGACGGTGACGGCAGAGTTCACCAAATACCTCCAATGGCAATCCAAGGTGGGCAAAGAGCACGCAAAAGTGCCAAAAGAACAGCTGTACAGAAATCGTTCACACTCGTTTAAACAGTCGCATTGGCGATAGATCTACTGAATCATTCTGCTAAGAGCGCTCGCTGATATGGAGGATTTTGTTCTGACCAGGATAGCGACAGAACCCGAAACATTACGACGACGTTCAGACATGGCATGGGGAAGCCGAACGACCCTCTCAAGTCCTGCATGTAGTGACAGTACATGTGGTGAGGCCCATGGAGGGTGATCCACCTGTGGCCATGTCGAAAAGTTTACTGGAAAGCTCCGGGGTGCGTGTAAGTAGGGTCAACAATTTCGTATATACATTGGAAAGATGCAGGGAACCTGTAGCAGAATGGAGGTACATACGTGTGTATGTGTATATATATATACAATGCGCTTAGTGTGCATAATAGAAGTGCCTGTGCTCACAGCCCAAAAGATTGACAATCCTGCCTGCGGTCCGGAAACATGTGTATGTATGTATATATTTGTATATGTGGGTATATGTACACGCATACTCTAAGCATAACTTTAGGCCGTAGACCGTAGACCCTGCACCCAGTAAACCCGCCCGATGTGTCGCACTCAGTGATTGCATCGTCGAGGTCCGGAACACCGAACTTGACCCAAGCCGCCTGGCAGGACCGCAGGTTTAGGGTTTAGGGCTGATGCTGTTGATGGACAAGAATCTCCATGTCCGAAAAAACCCTCTGAACTATTTTGGGGGTGAAGGTAAGCTTTGCCATGCCTGTAATCTTGAAGACTGAGCCCAAACTCCTGAACTTTCCAGAGCAGTCTACCAGTCCTGAAGCTTCGAAGTGCTTCTTACTTTTTTTCCAAAAGAGCCAGAAATCCTAAGCCATACTCCCCCTATAATAAAATAATGACAAGATGATGTAGACATCCTAAAGACGGTCCTTGACCTCAAAGCCCCAACAGACCTGCAGGAAATAAAGAGATCCCGGCACCCTAAACCCTAAACCCCAAACAGTCCTTAAATCTCAAAAAGCCAGAAGTTTCCAAAAACAAAAACAGGAGATGCCAAGGAAAGCCGTTTGGATGAACCTGTTGGAGCAACCCTAAGAGGAACACTAACTCTAAACCCTAAGCCCTAAACCCTGAACCCTAATCCCTACCTAACCCCCAAACAAAAAAAAGCTTGGTAAAGTCATGGCCCAACCTTTTAAGGGATATTATTCTACATGGCGTTGGGGGTCCAGGTACGCCTGAAACCGTGATGGCCGCTGCTTGGCGCCTGAAGCGTCGCGCGAACGAGGCGCTCACGCTTCTCCGCCCTGGCCGGAGAGGTCGGATTTGTTACGCAGGCTTGTAGTTTGTTTTAGTTTATGATAGTTTATGTTTGTTTAATTGTGTATTTTGCCACAACCATGTTTCATAGGTCGAAGGGTTTAGGATTTAGGTTTAAGTTGCCACGGCGAGGTTTTACGGGCTTCGGGATGCTATTTAGTGTGGAAACCTATCATGGTAACTCGTTAGCAAAAGTCCACGGAGAGGTTGCGCTGGAGGAACACACAGCATCCGGGATGGAAAATGCGGGGGCCATAATAGAATAGTACGGCTTCTTTTTATAGGGTTCCCTCCACAGGCTCACTGAAACGGGTTCCTATACGGAAACCCTAACCCTAAACCCTAGACCCTAAACCCTCATTGAAACGAGATCCTATACGGGGTATTGTCATTGTATAGGGGCCTTCATAATCAGAACAATGCTTTCGGGTATATGCAAGTTTAGGAAGTCTCAGGAACATATTCGTAATCATTCAGGCTTCGGCTTAAACACTTCAAGCAAGCAAAATGCAATACATCATTCAATGCCGGCAATTTACCCCCTGAACCTACATCGAAAATCCTGAACCACACCCATGGGCCATGACATCTGCAATTCAAAACTCTACCTCTTGGCTCGAAAGCATAACAAACCCCGTACCAGGAAACGGAACGAAATAGTCTGGGGGCTAGGTCGCCAGTACAGGGGTTGGTTATTTGGGGTCTGGGGGTGTTCAATTGTCGCAGTTGAAATTCCCAGGGAACATACTCCAATGGTTGCGCTACCACCATGCATGAAAGGACTTACCCATAGGATCCATAGTAGTTCCTCATTGGGGAATACCTTTTAGGATCCTAAATATAAACCACAAAAAGGAACTATCATGGAGCCTACGGGTAAAACAACAATCAAGAGGAGCTGTGAACGCTGTGGCGGGCAATCGGTAGCTTCTTTCATTCTACGCTTCTGTCCCGCAGCCACTGGCGGACGCAAACTTCTCCCAGAACCTGTGGCGGGGGAGGTCTTCTGAATGTGTTGATCATGCCTTGGCAGTGTTCTGGTCTCTCTTTGAGCGGGCATAGGGGTCGTAAAAACATGACCAAAAAAGTCTTCGGGGAACTCTTTGCTAGAATGATGAGACGTGTAGAGGAACATCGCCATTAAACTCAACTCTTCTACACTATCTCTGACCCGTGAAGCAACATTTTCATCTTAAGGTGTCAGTTCAATACAGGCTGGACTAATCAACGGGTCCCAGGGTTATCTACGCCTCATTCAAGACCTCAAAATATCTGTACATATATATATATATATATATACATAGGATACATAGGGGTGTGTGTGTGTGGGGTGTGTGTGTGTGGGGTGTGTGTGTGGGGTGTGTGTGTGTGTGTGTGTTTGTGTATGTGTATGTGTGTATGTGTGTATAGGTGTGACTATGTGTGTGTGAACAGATATGCATGTTTCGTGCATTTGCCCGGGGGCCTGGGTTCCTGAAGTACTGCCCATTCTCCCCGCGCGAAACAGACCAGATCGTTGTCAGATACCATCCAGCCACCAATCCTTGGTTGAGGACTCAAGGACCCTATAATTAATCCCTAAACCCTAAACCCTATAATTAATGAAACCCTAAACCCCCCATATACTTTATAGGTCTTCGACCATGAAAGCCCTGAGCCTTATACTGGAAAATACTTGCAATAAGAACTGAGCATTATACCCTACACCCTACAAGCCCTAAACCCCAACGCCCTAACCCCTAGACCCTAAACCCTAAACCCCCAAACCACAAACCCTAAACCCCTGAAGCCAGTATACCCTGTAAAACCCTCAACGCGGGATCCTTGACTCTACACCCGTGTGGCTAAGCCTTGATTGAGTCCTAAACAAGTGACTACTCACACTTTCCAACATCCCTTTATTGATATACCTTAAACATTTTTCGGAAATTACTGCTATAATGTATGTCGGGGATTGCTGCCATAATTTTTGGTATATTCCTTCATTGCGCGATCTTGGAAGATCTGGTAGCTATAGTCCTGAAGCCTTTCATTCTATGAAGGCTCTGCCTCAACCACCGGAAACCCCACCGTGACAAGGACTTGTATGAGGATGACATAAGAAGGAGCCCTCAACGGGTAGGTAGCACCTTTCCCTAAGGGTCCATGTGCCCAAAAAGTATATGCTTAGGCCTTAATGTAGTCCCTATATGGGTACTTTAGGGTCAAAGTATGCTCATATGGATACATGGACCCTTAGGGTTTTATAGCGCCCCGAAAACCGCTTTGATCCTCCGGTCCAAACTCATACGAAGAATGCCGGCTAAGGATGTGAAGATGCTTCAGAGCATAGTTGGCCCAAGTTCTTGGAAGTGGGGTTTCAGCTTTAGAAGTTATGAAGTTTTAGGATGTAAGGGTTCGGGGTTCAGGGTTAAGTTAAGGGTTCAGGGAGCATACACTTAGTATGTCAGCCGGGGCCAGGCTTGTAGCTATTATAGGCGTCGACTTCTGCACCGTGAGGCTCTGCAAAGTACTCTATCCTCACAAGCGGAATAGTCTGTCAGGGGAATAGTCTTTCGAGGGAAAGCCAAGGTTGAAGTGAGGCTCGGCTAACACAATATATGCCAATTTCCTTGGTCCTTGAGTGTTCTGGTTCTTTTTGTTCCCAATCGCAAGGAACTGCTAACCTTCCGCCTTTCTTGGAACAACCCCTTGCTGTCGAGCGTCGTAGCTTGATCACTTGGGTCGAATGGATCTGTCTGTGCCCGTGGAGCATCGAAGATCGCATAGTTCGTGAAGAGACACACCTGCAGTGTACGTACTGATGGGGCATGGGGCCTCATAGGAGCAAAAGCCAACGCCAAACACTGAGACTTAAATGCCATACACTACCCCAACCCTCCAGGTACCTACTATAGAGAGTACTAGAGCCCCGAGGGCCCCATACAATGTCGTGGCCTACAGGCGTAGAATCCTAAGGCCTAAACCCTGGATCCAAAGTGCCCGAGAACTAACTCCGAGAGGCCAACGACTTGGGCATCCAAACCTATTGTTATTGCCCTACTGTTGATGATATAAATCCTGCATTACCTTAAGGACTCTAAACTATGGGAATTATGGTATATTCCTTACTGTGGGTAATGCAGGATTTATATCATCAACCGTATTTACTTAGATGTCGAGTAGTTACTAGGGGAACTAAAGGGTGAACCATTGCCATTATATGGGTAGTTCTCTAAATTAGGATACTTTTTTAGGGTCCTTTTTATAAGGGTGCCGTACCATATTGGGGACCCAAAAAGGGACCCGTTTTTAGAGAGCTACCCGTATAGGTTTTAGAGTCTAACAAGGTAGAGGTCTCCTACTCTACTCATAGGTATAAGACTGCGAAGTAGACTAGGGCTTTTGGTGGCAGAATCTCTTACTTAGAATGAGGGACCTATGCTACTTACTGGGCCCTATGGAAGAATACCACTAATCGCTGAAGGAAGCCCCTATGTAACCTCGAAGGTCAAAGGCTCAAGTAGATGCTAACCTCAGAAGTTACACACCCTTTCATGACAAAAAAGAAGCCCCAACAGGCGAAGCAGGGTTGGGGATGTAGTGTCTTGTAAGCCCAAGTATAAGAGTTTCCGAGTGTTCAGCATGCTTTGTAACATGACTGGAAGGGTTTGGAGTTCATGTAAGGACAGTACAGCCTAATTCCGTAGAGACTGGGATGCGTGCTTGATAAGAAGTACAAGGGGGACCTGCGAGAACAAGGAGGGCCGTCTGAGTCTGATATAGTTTCTGATAACAAACACTACCTGGGGTCCCGGTTTTCAGAAGCGCAAAACGAAAAGTCACAGTAATCGGCACATGAAAGCATAAGATTGGCCGCACACACGCAAAGGGAGACTACCAGTAGTCTTTGGTGAGCTACGCAACGGCAGCTGCATGCCTCAGAATGGCAGTAACGAACCTGGTCATAAGAGAACAAGACACATACTGAGCATCGCCCTAAACCTGACACACTTGTCCCATAGAAACTCAAAACCTATCCAGTCGGGTCTGCATATCCCTAAACCCTAACCCCGTTATGCAAGACAATAAGAGCGAAGTTCCACGTCGCCTTGTGGCTCCTGTAGCCGGGACCCCAGGAGCCCAGGATGGAGAAGGAGCCAAGGCAAACCTGGGGTTTAGGGTTTAGGGCTTAGGGTTTAGGGCTTAGGGCTTGGGGTTTGGGGTTTAGGGTTTAGGGCTTAGGGTTTGGGGGTTTCTTTTCAGTGTTTTGAGGGCTCTTTTCGTCCGCACGAAACTTGGGGTTAGGCTGGTAGCTTGAACTAGGTAGCTTAACCAAATCCTCCCTAAACGCTTGCAGACTGATCGTCGGGGCCGAGCGTGCTCAGTCGCATCTTCCAGCTTTGAACCCTGCAGCGCAGAAGCACAATGCAGGGACCTTAACATCTGAACAGGGCTTGGCGATATGTTATGGCTTGTATCAAGGAACCCTACATAGGAATACTGCTGCTAACGATTAAGGCCCCCGATGTTTGAACCTCCATAAAGCCTTTACAATGCTTACATTCTTTAAAACCCACAACCCTCGAACAAAAACCTTGAACCCAGTCTGATACAGTCTTGGCCTGACCAGAAGACCGACACATGTTAGTCATCTTCTCGGCACCGCCGTCCAAGAATCCCCAACTTTAAGCTCCAAGGGTGAATTTCGGAATTGTGCATGAATGCAGGCAAGTAAGTACACGTGCTACTTTGCAGCCTTGTGACTTTCTCACTGCTCATCTGTGTTTGTGTGTGTGTGTGTCATGTATGTCATCTCTGAAGCTGCACGCTACAGACTGATGCAGGCGCTCAACTTCTGACTGCTAAGATGCGATGTGTGCTCAGGGTAGCCCAATCGGCGGCAGTCACAGACCGGACACCCAAACGAACCTGGCTGTACACATTCTTGCAACATGTCAATATGAGTGTTCACACGCGGAACAGACCTGCGTGCATGTACTATACTATACCCCAACCGGAAATCAGAAAACACACGGACATCTTATAACCCAATCGAAAATCCTCAGCCCCCAAGCCCAAAAAAACGAAGACTTTCAAACCCCAAGTGCCCAAGACGAGCAGCGCTGAGCCATGTGGGTGCCAAGGCCAAACTCTCGTGGCCAAGAGTATCTGCGACCAGCTGCTGGATGACCTCCGGGAGAAAGGACGTCGACATCTGCAGCCCAGAACCCTCAAGCAAGGCTTCTATATGAAAACCCGCTTGGGATGTAGGGTAAAAAGGTTTAAGGCATCTTTGCTCGGCTGGTCTACAGGCCTGAGTCTCAGGGTGAAGCAGAACCCAACAACAGTCCCGAGGTTTCCAGAGTTTAGAGTTCAGGGTTTAGGGGTTTGGGGCTAAGGGGTTTAGCGTTTAGGGGTGTGAAGTTCAGGGTTTAGACTTTAGGGGTGTCGTTTAAGGGTTGATTTCAAGAGGGTCGCTTTCAAGATTCCGTAGGGTTTGAGGTCCAGGATTCCTTGCTTCTGTAGGGATAGTTATAAAGGTTTAAGACTTGGGGCTCGGAAACCGTTTTGAGGGTCCATGCCATGGTCAGCGGGGAGCCCTGTGCATGAACCCCATGGGAAAACTCTCTGAATTCGGATCCTTTTTGGGGGTCCCTCTTGTAAGGGCGCCGTACTATTTTGGGGCCCTAAAGAGGGACCCTAATTTAGAAAATTTTCCCCATGCCATCGGCCACCCCAAGGCCCCTGTCACGCTCGTTTTGCATGCCTTCAAGGGAAGAGTCTGACCCATTCTGCAAATCCCGCTCTGTGCTGGCGACACATCTGAGATGTTATTGGGAGGTGGGCACTTTCAAGACTCTCGTTGCTGGCTCGCGTCGTTGTAAGCCGGATGGTCGCGCCGATGGCAAATCCTAAACCCTGAACCCCCAAAGGCCCCAGATCCTAAACCCTATAGGACCCTGAATCCTGAACTGAACCCCCCAAAGGAGCTCTTAAAGGACCCTAAACCCTAAGCCCTAGAGACCCTAAAACCCCCCCGAATTAAAGGAGCTCTACCCATAGGCCCCTAAGTAGTTCCTTTTTGGGAAACCCTATAGCATTCTACATATAAACCAGAAAAAGAACTACTTAGGGGCCTGTGGGTAGATAAAGGACCCTGAGGGTCTGCAATTTTAGGAGCCTGCAGGATGGCACAGGCAAGCAAACCTTGCTGGCAGTCGTCCCAAACCACAGCCAGCGGTGCGTGGCTTTTTCCGGTGCTCCTCGCACTGAGGGTAGGATAATGTAGAGACTTCTACCCTAAACCCTAAACCCTGAACCCTGAACCCTAAACTCTAAACCCTGAACCCTAAACCCTATGAGGGCCCTGTGGGAATTTGCGGTCTAAAGCGCTCAGCGTTTAGAGCCAGGTGGCTTAAGGGTTCCGGGATTCGGAGCTTCAGAACTCGGGCTGTTTCTATCTAAATCCCAAACACTAAGGCTACACTCTACTATATTGTAGCTGTGCTATAATTATGATATATAATATAACATAATATGATATAATATAGTATAATGTCATATGTTATGCAATACAGTAATATACGATACCTTTCCTTCTGATGATTATACTACGTTACACCATATGTATACGATACCAAAGATCTTCACTGCCGAGGCGCAGGCCTGGTAGAAGGCCGTACTTCCTCCACATTCCTCGTTTAGGGTTTAGGGTTTTGGGTTTAGGGTTTGGGGTTTAGGGTTTTGCGTTTAGGGCTTAGGCCGCAGAGTCGAACTCCTAACCCAAACAACACATAGGATGCACCCATAGGCTCCAGAGTCGTTCCTTTTTGTGGTTCATATTTGGGATCCTATAGGGTATATAATCCCCATAAAGGAACTACTATGGAGCCTATGGGTACACAGGGCTGGGGGTTGATGGGTTTCCTGCTGCGGGTTTAGGTGGTTTAGGGCCTATAGGCGCTACAGTGGCTCTGTTGAGGGTTCCGGTGCCGGCTACTACGGTTGATGATATAAAACCTGCATTACCCATAAGACGGAATATACCATAACTCCCATGATTTTTGTCCTTAAAAGGTAATGCAGGATTTATACCATCAACAGTAGTATAGAGGGCTTTGCCGGCTCTGTAAGGGTTTGGAGGTTGGGGAAGATTGCGGGCTCAGGGGTTTAGGCTTCTAAGACCTGGTTCTTGAACCGGTTTTGGGGCTTAGGGGCGTGGGGCTGCTATCAGATTCGAGGATTTAGAGCTTTAGAGTGTGGCGGCTATATCGGGCCTTACGAGGCTGCGCCAATTTGCTGTGCAGAGGCTTAGGGCAACTGGGCTCTCAGGCCAACTTCGGGGGCCCAGCGAAGGGGACCCGGATTCGGAGAACTACCCCAAGCATGAAACGATTAAGCCCAGAGTGCTCAATAAGTACGACTCAACACTGCCACACAACGGGCATCGGAAACTGTTCAATGGTTCGGGCTTGGACGCTCACACCTGAACATGTTTAACCCGACCCTGGCCTGCACCCCTAAACCCCAAATCCCAAACTTCAAACCCTAAATCCTAAACCATAAATCCCAAACTTCAAACCTAAACCCTTAACCCCCCCTCTCAGGGTTCGTCAAGGCTCGATGCTCGAAATGCACGGCATTGGGCGAGTGTACCGCATCGGAGAAGATCAGGTTCCTTGGTGTCGGTGCACTTGGTTTCTATTACTACCATTAGTATTCCTACCATTGCTATTACTACTATTGTTATTATAATGTTATTATTATTATTATCATCTGTTTTTAGCAGTATTATTACTCGTATTATTATTACTATTATTATTACTATTATAATAATTATTATGTCCCGCAGGGGGTTTCTTGCTGTTCCGAGGCTCAGGTTCTGTCCAAAAAGGTGTTGACCCAGGATGCTCCAGACGTTTTCCTGGTCTTCACCTCTTGATGGCAGCATCTCAGAAATCGCGCCCCGATCTTTAGGGTCGTTCAAGGTGCCTCGGCTGGCAAGTCGGATGACGGGCATCAAGACATCGGAACCAGTTCTAAGCTGTTACCGTACTATACTTTGCCAGCCTGCAGATGCCAGAGATGGCACTCACTATGCTTGGGCCGAGCTGTTAGTTGACAGGACTGTGCGATGAGAGAAAACCGCAGTTCACGCATAGCTGCAATTCCAATCGCCAGCACTTGCCTTGGACACTCGGTGGATACAATCACGGAAGTCCGCCTGGCGTCCATCGACAATCGTTCCTTGTAGATACCAAATGCTCCGTGAAATGTTCTTCTTCACAAACTCCTGCAAGCGCTGCCGGCGAGTTCCAGGCCGAGGCCAGTATGCAAACAGATGTTCATGGCTGTCCCGCCCGCAAGAGAAAGGCCGTACTATGCTCTCCAAGTTCTGCGAACCGCAAGCCCAGTCGTTGCTCCAGGTGGCTTCCTGACCTTATGGGGCGAGCGGTCGCTGTTTCTCGCGGATGTGACCCCAAACCCTAAATCTGAAGCAAAGCCCGAAGCCCCAAACACGCAAAATCCCGGCCACACGCCTCGTCTGTCCCGAAGGGCCCATGTAATTACCCAACTAGGATATACTTTGACCCCAAAGTACCTCTACAGGGACTACATTAAGCCAAACTTTATTCTATTTGGGCATATGGACCCTTATACCCTAAACCCTTATGGTACCCTTATAGAACCCTAAAAGGAAACCTCATAGGAACCCGAATATGAATTAAAGTATATCTTCCTACATTCTTATAGTTCCCATATAGAAACCCTTCTCGATCCCTTTAAGGATCCCTTTAAGGTCTACTTTGTTATCGGACATATATTCCGTGATTGAGGGATTTTCGGAGCTCTGGGACACCTGGGGCCCCTCCTAAGCCCCGAGGCCCTGAAGCCTTCACTGCAAAGGCTGGAAAGTTACGCGTCGCAGAGTTTAGGGCTTGGAGTTTAGGATTTAGGGTTTAGGGTGTAGGTTTCAAACTTTGGGGCTTAGGAGTTACGGATTTAGGCATTCCCAGCCCGTGTACCTGTTCAACCAACACTTTGGCCTTTACAGGGCCACGGTATATATACCATCTATCAGTCTATCTATCGATCTGTCTGTCTACCTACCTATCTGTCTATCTATCTACGTACCTACCTACCTGCCTACCTGCCTGCCTCCCTCTACCAACCTGCCTGCCTGCCTTCCCTGCCTACCTACCTACCTATCTACCTACCTGCCTACCTCCCTGCCTCCCGACCAACCAATTAACCTACCTACCTACCTACCTACCTACCTACCTGCCTACCTGCCTACCTGCCCACCTGCCTGCCTGCC